TGCGTGCAAGCCGAAGAACGTCACGTGCTGCGCCTGGCGTCGCTGGAAAGTTCAAGAGTTGCGTCTCCGATCTCTTCTTTCTTGCCCTCCCCACACCACCACAATACGACCCAACCACCTCACCCACCGCGCACCATCGATCTACCCGGTCGACCATCAATCACGCGACACTGCCATCGCGCCCGACACATCGACGAGGTAATTCGCGAATCTGCGCCTCCCTTACGCGTCGACACGACATCGTACAAGCGTGAGCTCGACTCGCACAATGGCGGACGAGGCCAACCCACCCGTGTCTGCGGACACCACCAACACTGCTGAACTGCCGACGCGTTCTTCAGACGCTGTTGCAGAGCCTGCTGTCGCTGAGGTAAAGCCGGCTGAGGACGGTGTCATAGCCACCTCAGGTGTCGCCGAAGGTAACCAATCATCTGCTCGTGAAATTTACAGGGCGCAGTAGCTAACGCGATCGCGAACTAGTTCCCGAAGACGACGCTGCTCAAAAAGACGATGCCGCGAAGGAAGACGTCACTGCTGACGCGCAGGCAGAGCCAACCACGGCCAGCGACGACGCAGGTAAGTCCAGCCATGCGTGATTCCGAGCCTCGGGCTACCAGCGTATTACCATCGCGTACTAACCCATCATCTCAGATGCCGCCCCTGCCTCCGACGCGCCAGCAACGAATGGCACCCCAGCACCGAAGAAGGCTGCCAACGGCAAGCGCAAATCAGGCGCAGGTGTCCCCGAGCACAAGAAGAAGACACCGGCTAAGAAGGGAAAGAAGCCGCCACCTGAGCTGCGTCTGAATGTCTCGCCTGGTGACATGTTCATGGTCGCCATGCGGGGCTACCAGCCGTGGCCAGTCATTGTTTGCGATGAACAAATGCTCCCAGAGTCGCTGCTTAGCAAACGTCCTGTCAGTGCTAAGCGCATTGACGGTACATATCGCGAAGACTTTCTCGAGGGCGGCAAAAACGCTAAGGATCGGAGATACCCGGTCATGTTCCTGGGCACCAACGAATTCGCATGGCAGGTCAACACTGAGCTGTTGTCATTCGACATCGAGGAGGTGAAGAAGGACGTGGAGTCTGGCAATCAAGGCAAGAAGAACAAGCAGCTCTGGGAAGCGTATCAAATCGCGGCTGGGGGTCACGACCTGGCACACTTCAAGGAGATGCTGGCTGCCCACGAATCTGCGATGCAAGAAGACGTGGAGCAGAAGGAGCAAAAGAAGAAGGAGAAGGCTGAGAAGTCAGCCAAGCGTAAAAGCACAGCCCCTGACGACTCAGAAGACGTTGAGATGGGAGAAGCTGGCGACGATGCTGCCCCTGCAAAGAAGGCGAAGGCCACTAAGAAGCGCAAGAAGGATGATCAGAGCGATGGCGAGAACGAGAAGGTATGCACCGCATAGACCCGTCGACTTACGCACTCTAATTTGCTTACAGGCTGTAAAGACTCCCAAGATCAAGTTGACGACTGGCAAGACACCAAAGTCCGCATCGGCCGCGAAACCTAAGAAGGAGCCCAAGACTAAGAAGAAGGCGAGTGAAGAAGCTGCGCCTGAAACACCAGAGGAGGCTCCTCTGACCGAAGAGGAGCGGCTAGTGAAGCGCGAGAAGCAAGTTCTCTACCTCCGTCATCGCTTGCAAAAGGGCTTCCTCTCGCGCGACCAGAAACCAAAAGACGAGGATATGACGAGCATGGACGAGTACCTGAAGCAGCTTGAGGCTCACGAGGATCTCGAGGCCGATGTCATAAGGAAAACCAAGGTTCACAAGGTACTGAGGGCGATTCAGAAGCTTGAAACTATCCCGATGGAGGACGCGTACCACTTCAAGCAGCGCTCCAGTGACCTTCTCTCCAAGTGGAATCCTGCTCTGGCGTCTGAGTCTGAGCCTGCTGCTGCCAACGGCGTCAAGAGCGAAGATCGGGAGAAGTCTGAGTCTGCCAAAGACGAGGCGCCGTCTGCTGAGAAGACCACAGAGGAAGATAAGAAGGACGATGCTAATACCGATGCTGCCGTCACCAAGACCGCTGACGAGGATGGCGATGTGCAAATGTCGGAAGCCGACAAAGAGGTCATCAAGGATGCGCCTGCAGCGCAAGAAGATGCTGAAAAGAGTGCAGAAGGCGTCGAGAAGGCGACAGCTGAGCCTGAGACTGCTGCTGCGGCAACAGATGATGCGTCCACCTAAACGCGGCGCGCTCATGAGCAATGAGCAAGGAACTGGCGTCTTCGGCTCGGTTGCGGTTGTCTTTCTGCAGTAACCTGACTGCAATACTGAAGCGCAACGGCTTGCGATGGTTGGTACGAGCATGCCTTAGCAAAACGCGTTCGGCTATCTCTACAGCTGGCGCACCAGCTTTCGTACTTGGACGATAGGGTCATCCGTGTATATACATATAGTGCTGAACAAGCAGGGTTATTGGAGTCCGATGAGAAGACGCGGGCTTATTCTTTGCGACATGCGCCTTCTTTCATAGGTTCTCGGAGATTAGTGAGCTTTAGCGGAGTAAGAGACTGTCTTAGCAATCAATAACACTTGGAGTTATCTCTTGAACATGCCGCTGCTGTTTTTGACAGTGATCACATTGACTACTCTTCAAATCTTTGTTCTCTCTGCGCATGTATCATGGTAATGTGTGGCGCGCGCATCGCGTGGAGCAATGGATGCCCCGCTATCATTATGACGTACTCTTCGCGCGTTGAGCTCCATAACAAAACCATAGCCGCGCAAAGCTCCTCGCAGCTATTAACAACAATCGAGACTCGATACTTTTTGTCGTACAAACACTCAATACATCAATCAACACCCTGAACACTATTTCAAGATGGCCAGCGCAACTAGAAAAGACCTACTCAAGAAGGTCTACAACATGGTACCGCCCATGCTCGAGAGCTTTCACAAAGGTAAAGAATGATCTATGATACTAGCCCCCGACGTGGATTCTAATGTATTCGAACAGGTCAATTGGGTCGTGTAGCTGTCATTGGTGGCAGTGAAGACTACACTGGTGCGCCTTACTTCTCTGCTATGGCATCTGCAAAGCTAGGTTGCGACATGGTAGGAACATCCAGACATTCTCGTATTGAACAACGTGCTCACTTTTCTACAGTCCCATGTAATTTGCGAACCTGGCGCCGGTGCGGTAATCAAGACATATTCTCCCAACCTCATGGTTCACCCATACATGCGTCAATCAAAGAACCTCGCCAAGTCCGAGAGCGCAGACAGCATCACCTCGGAAGTAGTAGCCATGCTATCACGTCTCCACGTCATTGTCATTGGTCCTGGTCTTGGTCGCGATGAACTCATGCAAGAAACCTGCGCACAGGTCATCCAGGAGGCAAGGAAACAGGGCATCCCATTCGTGCTGGACGCCGACGGCCTCTACCTCGCTCAGACAAGGCCGGAACTTGTGGACGGCTGCACTGAATGCATTCTCACACCTAACGTTGTCGAGTTCGCAAGGCTAGCCAAGGCCAAGGGCGTAAATGTCGACGAAGGCGATCCCTCAGAGCTGTGCGCCAAGCTGTCAAAGGCATTCGGCGGTGTCACCATCATTCAGAAGGGCGCCAAGGACTACATCTCCAACGGTTCGCACACACTCGTATCTGAGGGCGAGGGTGGCCTGAAGCGCTCTGGTGGCCAAGGTGACACTCTTACCGGCAGTCTGGCGACCCTATTGGCGTACAGGAAAGCATACCACGACAAGATCTGGGACATTGGCACTGAGATGTCGAGGAGCGAGACGCTTGCTCTTGCGGCGTATGGTGGATCATGCATCACTAGGGAGTGCTCGAAGCTGGCGTTCAAGGAGAAGGGCAGGTCGCTGCAAGCCAGTGACTTGACTGGCCATGTACACACTGCTTTCCTCAACGTCATTGGCGAGAGGGAGGAGACTCCTATGTTGTGAGCTGGAGATGGTTCCGTTCAGGATGATAAAAGCAAGCGTCTATGGCAAAGCACATCTAGTGTCAAAGACTGGCGTTAATGCATAAGTAAATGTAATGATTTGTACAAAATCCTCTTTTCGGTCGCCTTTTTTTCGTGCCTTTGAGCGACATAGCGGTCTTCTGTCCGAGTATATGAGGCCGCTTGATCCTCATACGACTTGCTAAGCGTTGTCAATGATCAGGCAATTTACCAATTCATGTTTACATATGCTGTGCGCGGGCCCCAAATCGCTGAGCCAGACTCCCGCGGTTTGAAGGAGTCTTCGGATACTGGACATTGTGTTAAGTAACTTGGACTTCGATAAGAGGAATTGACAAAAGAGTATGGCAGAATTATGTCCTATCACGTATGTACAGTTTTTTACTCTAATGAAACAAAACTATACGCGAGAATGTACACATCTACCTAGACGAACGTATTGTACTCAACCTAGGTACAGAACAAGATCTCTAGAACCCAACGTACAAGCAGGCTTCCTAGGCAACGTAGTTATTTGCAATTCCCCAGTATCGTGAATGTCCACTCAAGGCTGGACACTACAGCAAACGTAGCACACCTGGAATAAACGGTACCTCAAGAAACGTCACACGGTTCAAGGAAGATGTCATATGCAGGGCATCTGAAAATAGACGGCGTGCATGTGGAAAATGTTCCGGTTATTGAGCATCGCGTTGGTGGTTGTGCTGATGAGGCTCGGCGACTGCGCATATGCAAGGGGCGAATTCGGGCTGAAAGAGGATTACAGCCCGGGAATCTACCCCCAAAGTAAGCGACTTTGATCAGGTTCGGGGCTACGGACTTGATGTTGGCGGATAGAGAACTTCCTGTCTAGGTGTATGTACGCGCTTCGCCCCAAACGGTTGCCTTTCTTTGTCCTCCAAAATATCGGAATGCATTCCCGTCTCTGTCTGTGCAACAGCAGGATCAGTGCAGCCATGTGTAAACAAAGGGAGCCTTTAAGCAACGCTATCGTCATCGAGGTGTGTGTGTATGTGCATCTGTTGGCTCACTTCTGCACTTCTAATCATCATTGTTGCAATATGGCACACTCTGCAGAAGATTACTATGACATGCCTGTCGAGATGCTGCCGTCTGCAAACTTCGCAGGCCGCCCTACGAGCGACATCAGCATAGGCATGTACGACGGGCTCTGGGATTTGATGTTCTCACCCTCCTCTTATTCGTCCGAAGACGAAGCCGCAGAAGAAGGCAACGAAGCCGCTCTACAACAACGGACCCCACCGAGATCACCTCCTTCGCCGACGCAATTAGAGTCGCCAGTAAGACCAACAATCAGAGTAACGTCACCGACGCTCAGATATGAGGAGAGACAATGGAGAGAAAGCTGGGGCAACGATGAGAGCATGATAGATCGGCCACGGTTGAGGAAGAAGTCCCAGACAGCACCTCCCGGCGGCTTTGAAGCACAGGCTACACCACCCCTGGAGCCACGGCGAGCGATCAGTGTAAGGTTGAGCTACTCGAACACAATAAGGAGAAGGCGGCCGAAGTCGGATGAGGGGGTTGCGAACTGTTTGGACACCAAGAAGGTCTCCAGGGACGGGCGATTGGGACCACGCAAGGCATTGCCGAAACCACCATTATGCCAGGATAACGAGGCGACACCTCATCGTACGACGCGTGCTCTCGGCTTCTTTCCCGAGAAATCACGAGGGCAGGAGACTGTGAAACACAAGCAGCTTGGAACGCTAAACACTCTGAACACTGCTTTGGCGGACTTTGAGTCGAAGAGATTACCGACCTCGCCCAGCTCGATGCTAGAAACACCACGAGAATGTTACGCAACACCACCAGAGCGGCTTGGGACAAGTGAAACCTCAGGTAGCCCACGCTCATCTCGCTCGTGGGGTCGGAAGTCAGTCCGGTCTGTCAGACCTGTTGCTCATACAACCCACTCGCCCTCCTCCGCACGGCCAAACGTAGAAGCCCACCATACGCTAAAGCGCAAACACCAACGTGGAGATGTTGACGCGGCTGAACGGCGGAGAGTTTATCTACCCGGGGCCATCATGCTGGCAGAGCATCCAGCTAAGCTTCGCAGAGATTCTGTCGCAACGCTTGACCCATTTACGTTTGACCCCAAACTAGACTCGCCAGGAAGGCGAACATCGGATTCCGCAGGGCTGGACAGTATAGTAATCTTTTTCGAGGAGTTTGGTGTGGTCGCAAAGGTTACTGAAGCCACCTTTGACCAGTATTGGCTACGACAAAGTCTAAAGATGAGCGACGCCATGGATGAAGAGATGGAGGACTTTGTCGCCCGCAAGGCAAGCGTATCAAGCGTGAGGGAGGTAGGGCCAATGGGTCCCCGTGTCACACAAGGTCCTCCTGGGTTGAAGTCCTCGTTCTCGTCCGCGTCATCTGTGGTTTCTATGCACCCACCAGAAAAACGTAAGCGGAGCAGGCTGCGAGGACTGCTATCACCAGGCCTTCCTGGCGCAGCCTTTCTCAAGTCCCCTGCAGGCCGCGGACAGCAGATGGAAAGTTCATGACCAAGATAGCAATAGTGTAGATTGGATCAATCAAACCTTAGGGAGATGAGCCGCGTGTCACGATTCAGGCCGGGGTACCTGGGTACCTGGGGTGATGTTCTGCCAAGGTGTGATCGCGATGAGGTGCCATCCTGAACGGGTAGTTCACGACACATGGGCTGGCGGTTGCCAGTATGGGAGACGATCATTGAGCCTGGACTCTTCTTCTGCTGACATGTCTAACGCGAGGAAGAAAATTGATGGCGATCCGCCGTTTCCGCATTTCGCGTACCCATGGGCGATGACGACTGATGGCTGGCGATTCAGCCGTGCGGTAGACGCTTTGGGAATAAGACGGACATTGGCGCGGCGCCAGAGGAAAAACGTGTGGGTGACGCCTCTGCCACTGACAGCACAGTTTGCCAAATGCGAATGGACGCATGAAACCTGGTGGTCCCTCACCGAGTGTGGGTTCACGATAGGGTAGCACTGGGGAGTCCCCAGGATCGAGTGGCCAGGGCCACGGTGTTGGCTTCCGTGTGCCAAAAGTGAGGCAGCGAATGAAAATTGCTTCCGCCCCTTTATGTCCAATGAAACGCCAGACGGATGGCATCGATCGCCGGCGAGGATAGCCCTTCTGAGCTCACCTTGGCCCTTCGTCCACCGCTCAGCGCGGGCCGCATTCGTCAGACGCTCTCTGACACGAGCCAGCGCATCGCTCGTCCCCCATGCACCCAGGTGGTGCTAAAAGCACATCTTCCCCTTCGCAACCCGCATTCTCACTTATTCATCGCCTCGCAATTCTGACATTACCCCATTTGCTTCCTTCTTCACCACCACCATCTACCACCACCGTAAGATTTTCCTGCACAGACAAGCCCTTCTTTGGCCGTTGTTGCTGATCATCGTTTCGCCCAGCTTGCTTCTTACACCGCTACCACTATTCTTACCATCCCATCCCACCACCCCTCAGACGTCATGGCCTCGACTCTTGCGAGTAGTAGCAGTAGTAGTAGTAATACCTACGTCGCCTTCCTCGAACAAGCCAAGCACGACTTCTGCATGAGCAACGCACACCTCTCAGAGGAGGAGCTAAACCGCGCGTGGTTCCAGGCTGCCTGCCAACCGTCGCAACCCTCCATGGCCCACCAGGTCCCACGGTCAATGGCCTTCAACACGTCAAATATGACCCAGCTTCCAGTATGGACACATTTTTGGTCTTCTCGTCCCTGATCTAACACCCACTAGACAACTGGCTTCGAATCAATGGACCGGACTCGTTCTGCTCCCGTCATGAACCGCTCAGACTCGGCCATGACCGACAATCTACACCGCTCAAACACCACCTACTCTGGCTGGCCTTCAATGTCCCAAGAGTCCAACACCGACTACACACTCTACTCTGACACTTCCATGCGAAGACAGCCGACTCTCCAGTCGATGCCAGAGACTGCTTACAACAGCATCGCTGAGTACAGTGTTGGCGACTACGTCAGCAGCTGCATCCAGCCAGACAACTCTTCTTCCCTCCCCACCCCCCAGCATTCACAACAGTTGCAACTGACACCCAGCTTGCAGTGGAGTTCGTCTTCGGACGCCTCTTCACCCAGCACACCGTCAACCGCTCTGATGACGCCTGTTACTCAATCTAGTAACATGAGTCGTCAGGGTAGTTACAACCCTCTGTTTTTTGATAACATTTCCATGTCGCGCAATCAGTCAAATTCTTCATGTATGCCCATCCTCCCAGAGGATGGGTCGTTTCCTTATTCCTTTAACGTCGCATCCAAGCCCATCAGCGAGTCCGCTGATGGTTCTCATTTTCTCAACTTCACTGGCTCCTCCAGTGAAGCTTTCCTTTCTTCATCTGTTCCTGCAAGTGCGCATGCACTTGCGTCTTCCGACAACGATCAGTCGTGCCTGGCGGAGGATATGCGGAGGTCGACTTCAGCTTCATCAAGCGAGGGTTACTCGAGCGAGGTCTCTGCACCTTCATCGACCAACTCTCGTCAATCGCAACGCGAACGCGAGATCAACGCGCAAGCTGCGTCTCGCAAGATTGCCCCGAAGGCAATCGACAACAATGATGCGACCGAGTCTGCGTCATCAAATGCTCAGATGACAAGGATAAGGTCTGAGGATGGATCCTCTAAGACTGTCGGTGTCCTGTCAAAGACACCGTACGTGCGTCCTCAACACCCAAAGATCAAGTGTAACTTTTGCAACGAGCGACCCGATGGGTTCCGTGGCACACATGAGCTTGACCGTCACATTGCTCGCGCCCATGCCTCTCGCAGGAAGGGCTACATCTGCGTCGACTCTTCAGCCGACAAGAAGTTCCTCGCCAACTGTAAGCACTGCCGTAACAAGAAGGTGTACGGTGCGTACTACAACGCCGCCGCTCACCTTCGCCGTGCGCACTTCCATCCCCGCAAGAGGGGCAGGAAGGGCAAGAACGACGAGAAGCGTGGTGGCATCGGTGGCGGAGACCACCCTCCCATGGAGTATCTCAAGCAAAACTGGATCAAAGAGGTGGAGGTCGACAACAAGCCCACTCCTCAGTCACCCGAAAGCGCTTCCGACAACGACGCGTCTGAACAGATCGACAACACCTTCGACACTTCTTCGTACGAAGTAGACAACACTGCTGTTCCCGCTGCCGCCTACCCTCCGTCGCAACAGCCGCTTCCCATGGCCATGCCCATGCAAGTACCCATGATGGACCAAGTCCCTATTGACCCAAATCAATACATGGACTACGGTATGAACATGCATGCGAATGAGCCCATGGTGTTTGACAACAACACCTTCTTCGACCCCAACCTTCCTGTCCCCACCGACATGAGTAACTTCCAGTTCGACGCGTACATGGGTCCTTGAGCCCATGTATCCTTTTCCTCCTTCCTCCTTCCTCCTTCCTCCTTCACCCCCTTTCGCTTGACTCTTTGAGTCGCTGATGTATATAACGTTGGGTCTGCGCTGTTTGCTTTTTTCATCTTCGGCGTTCGATGTATTGACCACCAGTTTGACTTCCTATGGAGCAGCTGTGGTAGGTCTGCATCTTGGCGCTTTCTTGGTTTTGTCTATTCACGCTCGTCGACGTACATGGTAGAGATTTGCTGGGCTTATAGAGAGTGACGCTGTCCCTAGGGGCGCTCACATAACGTACCGATGTTACTGTCGCATAACGTTATTGCTCGCGTAGCTATTGCTACCGGGCTTCAAAGAAAGAAAAATACAATAATCAAAATACACATGTCTGCGTTGGTGTGATACTTGGTCATATCCTTTCCTCTCTTACCCATCTTCCCATCCTTGCCTTCGATATCAAGGAACAGTAAGTAGATGTGTTCCCATGCTCGCATGTCTTCTCTGAATAGATTCTTGACAACGTCTTTACCCACCTTTGTCGATTGTCATGTCTGTCACGAAGATGCTCGTCAGCAAGTCGTTTGTATTGTAGGTTACAAACATCAAGCCTTCGTGTACTTTTGTTCATTTTCAAAACGAAGGGGTCGTATGACTGATAATGAACATTGACTCGATGGCATATCGTGTGCATTGCTCCTGCTATTCCCTAAGCCTGCAGGTATACTAGCCAACTTCTTCAAGAAGCCCATACAACCCAAGATAGCGTCCTCAGCTTCGCCTCTAGACCAGAAAGATCTAGTAGCTAGAGTTGGGGTAGTTACCACCACCCTGCGTCGAGTTGTCGACGGGGTTGGCGGGTCCACCAGTCTGTCCCAATGCACCACCAGCCTGTGTTGCCTCGCCCTTTGACTGCTTAATAGCCTCTCTCGCCTCAGCTTGTTCAGCCTTCTTCCTATTCGATTGTTAGCACGCATCCAACCCACTCATATAGCATCCACCACTCACCTGTCCAGATCGCTCGCCAGATCAGGCTGCTCTCCACCACCACCCAGACCCTTCCCTCCCTGAGCCACCGCATCGGCTACACGTCCCTCGCCTGGTGCAGCCATTTGTTGCCCATCCAACTCCTTGTGCCTTCCTACGTCCTCATGAGTCAGACCTTTCCTCTCTTCGCCTGCTGGTGCGCCGTGTACGCCCATGCCTTCCTCAAACTTTGCGTTCCGTAGGCCCTCGGCGTCGGTGGCTTGCTTGGTGGGGATACGCTGGTCGACGGTGGCGGCGTTGTCGGTGGCGTTGAACTCTGTCTGGACTTGCTCTTTTGGGTCTTTTTGCGCTGGGTTGCCGGGTGTGGTGTAGGCTTGGTCTAGAGAGGGCTGCGAGGGGCCCTTGGGATCGAGACCGGACATGGTTGGTGTTGGTAGATGTGGTTGTGGTTGTGGGTAGGTAGAATGTCAATTGACAGGTGAGGATTTGGATGTACAAAGTATGTGAGTTGGAAATTATGTGGATTGGGTTTGTATATGGGAAATCAGGCTGGAGCTCTCGAGGATATTGTTTTGGCTATCTGCCACTGCTATGACGTCTGCGGGGTGGGCCCGTCATTCATTCCCGCCCCACCAATGCGCGCCGTTGTCATGTGAGGACGTGGAAAACAAACGTCTGAGCCGCGTTTTAGTCTTGTCTCGTAGTCATTGGTATCGGCGCGGCACGATGGCGGGAGGACTAGGTGCGAGATCGGTCCCAAAACTTGCATGCGGCCGTGCAACGAGAAACCAGATAGATACACACAGGTCTTCGTCTGTGCTGCCGCCTACAATAAAATTAACGTACTGAGGTGAAGAATGGTGCACTAATGTAGACTTCTGAGTTGTACATACAGATATAGTATTTGTAGTATTGTTTGTTACTTGCTGATATAGTAGGTGGCAGGTTCAGTACTTCTCTTGGACGGAGAGCGTGCTTGCTAATGAAACACGCCTCGGACGACCTTACTCAACTAGTGTTATGCTGCTGATTGTAGGAATAAATATCATACCATCGCCACAACCTCGTATCGCCTAATGTATGATAGAGGTATACGCACTGTAACCACTACAGGCCGTGGAATGATGAGCACGCGAGCTCGAACTCCTAACAATCCCATGAGCAACCCTGTGGGCTACAAAGCCGACCAGCCCATAGCCTAGATCTCCCTGAACGCCTTAAAGATGATTCCTGACCAAACGCCTTCGCTATGCTTGAAAAATGAACAGCCAGATATCACTCCGTTTCCATTTCCACGTCCGCCGAGGGCTCCCTTGTTTCGACGGTGTTTGTCGTTTCGCGGCTCTCTCGTTTCGATTCGGCTGCTTTAGCGGCTCTTTCACGGGTTCTGCGACACCACTCTTCTATCGATTCGGCGCCTCCTCCTTCAATTTTGATGGTCTTGGGTTCGGCTGGGACTCCCAGAACGGTGCCTTGGAAACGTGATTCGACGCCGGTCTTGCTGTGCTTCTTCATGAGAGCTAGGGAGCACTTAGTAAGTATACAGGTGTGTTGAAAGGCAATCGGACATACTGTTCAGGTAATCCTCCATTTCCTCCTGATCAAGCTGCTCTGTTGGATTCGTCGCAACTGGCTTGTAGATACCCGCTATGCGCCTGATCTCCTTGTTCTGATCGCCTTTGACCCATTCAATGAATTCGGTCACATCTGCTGTGTCCTCGGCGTCGCGGCGGGCTGCCTCATTCTCGCGGGCGCCCGTTTCCTCGTTGTACTCATCGAGGGGTTTGCGCAGGATTTCCTTCCACAGTTCTTCCCCGGCTGTCATGGTGGGCACGAGAAGGGCGCAATCCTGCATCGCCATGCGCACATCGCTAATGTCTGGTGTGAGGTCGTTGTGGTTGGAGAAGGCATTGTAGGCTGTGCGCTCTGCCAGTAGAGATAGATAGCGTGCCGTGAGGTCCACGATGGTGTCGACGGCCGAGGGTTTGCCGTGTTGGAAGCCCGTGGCGCGTAGAATGTGGAGGACGGCGGGCCGCAGCAAGTTGAGGAAGAGGTCGTTCTGGGACATGCTGGCGGCGGTGCGGGCGATGGAAGATGCAGAGGTCCGCTGTGGTGTGGTGCTGTTAGGGCGGGAACAGCAGGCGCATGGTGGGACTGTCCGGCGCAGCGAGTGTAAGGAAAGTGAAGGTACGCGACTGGAAAGCTTTGGCCCTTCACTGCGGTGACCGCCAAGGCCGCCGCCCGTGGAATGCCAACGCTTCCGACTCACCTGCCCCAACTTTCCCACAACCGCGCGCCCTCGCAAATGTCGCGTACCCAGGCGCGCAGTCCGAAAACTCCGTCCTGAATAACGAAACTCCCCGTACCGCGGCCCAAGATGAAGCTCAAACTCAAGAACCTGGGTGCGCCTTCTGGCGATGCGCCGCCCGCCGCACCTCCCCCGGCCGACGCGCCTACACCCGTTTCCGCGAAGCCGGGAGGTCTCAAGATCAAGTTCAAGCCCTCAGGACCCGCGGCGGGTGAGCCTGCGGATGGCCAGAACGGCGAAGGTGCCAAAGTCAAGCGCAAGTACACCAAGAAGCCTAAACTCGATGAAAGCGGCAACGTTATTCCCCCGGGAAAGCCTGGACCCAAGAAGAGGGCACGCGAAGACGGCGACGATGTCGACTCACCTGCCGCGAAGCGCAAGCCGAAACCCACCGCGAAGAGCCTCGCCATGGCCAACGACAGCGGCGACGACGACGACGATTACGCCGCAGTCCAACAACCTCCGCCCCAGCCTATCAAGTCACACAACCGCACTCAGTCTATCAAGCTCTCGATCAAACCAAAGGGAAGCATGACCTCGGCGAGACCAGCCATCCTAAAGGTCAAAGGCGCTGGAAAGCCACCAGTTAGACCCTATGGTGTCGGATACGACAGCGAGGCAGAAGAGGCGGAACCTGATCCGGCAATCGAGTCTCAGTTTGTGTTGCGTATGAAGCCAGGTCCAGACTGCGATCTACTGCGCAAATCTATCGAAGAGAAGACCATCGGCAAGAGTGTGTCACAGGGAGGGCCCGGCGTACACTTCCGATTCTTCGACCGCGAGGGCCGTCGGGCTATGCTCACTGTACAAGGCCGCCACTACGCTGCGACTATGGTCGAGCTACCCGCAGTTATAGAGTCACTGAAGAGTTGGAACAAGAAGGACTGGGTCAAGACCGCAGACGTCTGCCAGATGCTGCTAGTCCTGGACGAAGTTAAGAACGAGGAGGAAGCGAAGAAGTACCCTCTGCCATCCTACATCTCGCCAGATACCCACCGGTTTCCCCACGGTCTGACGCCACCTATGAAGTGGGCCCGCAAGCGACGCTTCCGCCCACGCAAATCATACATCGACGTTGAGCGCGCCGAAGCATCGTTACACCGACTACTGGAAGCCGACGAGCTTGCTGAATCAACCAAATATGAAATGGTAGATAGCGAAGCCGAGAGTTCAGAGGAGTCGAGTTCAGAAGAAGAGGTCGACGACGAGGAGATGGCAGACGCTACTCAAGTGGAAGAAATGGATGCCGACCAACTGGAGCAGATGCTTGCCGAAGGACTCATGGATGACGAGGTCGAGTTCCAGGGCGACAACGACCAACTGAAGGCCCTGCTCGCAAACAACGACAACGTGCAAGTCGAACAAGCCGACACGCCAACAACCGCTCACGACGTCGCCATGCACGCTCTCAGCCAGAACGGAAACGTGGTTGTCGAAACCGAGACGGCAGCCTCTACACCCGCAGCCGCGACATCTGCAGACGACGATGATGACGACGACGACGAAGACTCAGATGAGGACGTCGATGAGGTGGACGAGGCCGCCGCAGCAGAGGAACAGCGTCAAGAGCAGCTTCGGGGCGAAATCGCAGAGTTGGAGAGAGCTATTGTCCAAAGCACAGAAGCACGCGACAGACACACCAACTTCCTCTTTAAGAAGCGCGCACAAACTCAAATCGACAAGCAGAAGGCGGATCTTGCAATCAAGCGTAAGCAGCTGAACGAGGAGGCTGATGAGTGATCATACTTGGGCCAGGTTTTGTTCTTTTCCATTGAAGGGTTGGTCATGAACGTTGGGTAGCGGTGTTTATCATATGTAGCATCGCTTTGGCGTTCTCACTGGACACGGAGCATTCATATGGCGTTTTTTCTATGCTTGGGTGCAGTATTTATGGCTCCATAGCGGATATTCCCAATTTCAATTATCATTCGTCCAGAGAGGTCCTAGGGGTGACATTCTCTGATGCCCATCCACGGATTCAGGGTTGTCTTCTTGAGAAGGAAAACTGATTGGCCCCTTCTACTTGGAACGAACACGAATCTACCCACTCCTTCATATGTTTATCGAATGCTGCACGCATGCAACATAGCTGCAGTACATTTGGAGTCAGCTTACATGCTACTGGTGCCCTCAGTTTTAGCCCCGCTCGATGCGCATCAGTGCCCAGGTATGGTCTATCGCTATCAGCATTGAACATCAGTGCCTTGAGTTCATCTGCGGCGTAGTATTTGGGGTCTTATCTAATTTGTCTGGTCTGCTTGTTGTGCTCGGAACAGCCGTCGTGCAGAGTCTATCCATGCGCCTTAACTACACCGCTGGAGTTGCTGCGCTAGCGGATATGTGAGTACCCAGATATGTACTGCATCGCTTTCCTCTCGATGGTGACGACTGATCATACACCCTGGTAGTTTTTATTCCACGGAGCGATATTACAGCGACAAAACAGCTCGAAAGACAGCGTGACCAGAAGCCGTTCAAAATGAACAAGTATCCTGGAGATTATAACTACTTACCTTTGGGAAACGGTGTTCGATGGTTGGTCAAGAATGACGGAACCTTCCCTCTGCCAGATTTGCCTGACGATGCTTTATGCCTCACTGCTTCGGTTGAGAAATACCGCATGGAGACGAAGGGCAATATTCGAATCCTCGAGCTTCTCCCTGGGGAATTCAGCGATCTGTTACGATGCCGATTGCGCACTGCGGCACTTGAAAGCAACCCGGTATACGATGCACTCTCGTACAGGTGGGGAGACCCGAAATTCACGGGTAGAATAATCCTCAAGGACAAACCTTTCCCTGTGACTCCGTCACTCGAGAATGCTCTGAGGCATGTGCGTCTACCACACAGTGTGCGCTATATTTGGGCAGACGCTGTTTGCATTAATCAAAGCGACGATGAAGAACGCGGTAATCAAGTTTATCTGATGAAAGAGATATACTCTCGGTGCAGAACTGTGAGAGTCTGGATTGATGTGGAGCTTGATCCTAAGAGTCCTGTCGTTAAGAGGCTCCTCACACTTCACCTACAAAGCACTAAGGATCAGCTGGGCGACGATCCCGAATTTTGGAAGCCACTTCTCCCAATTCTTCAAAACGAGTATTGGGACAGACTCTGGATACAACAGGAACTTGCCTTTGCTCCAAAATTGGTATTCCACTGCCGGGGAGTGGCTATCACCGGGGACTGCTTGATGGCATTCCAACATCAGATGTTCCGAAAGTCGGCTCGTGACGAGGGGCCTTTCGGCGTAGACAATGTGTGGAGTCTGTTCAGACCGCTCGTGTCAACCACCAAGGCCCCAGCACGGAACTTAGCTTATTGGCGGGAGATGATGAAGAACAAAGTGCCAGTCGATCCACATACTCTCCAACCAGACTTTTCCCTCCTCACGCCAAAGGCCGACTGGCAACTTGATCCCATAAAATGGGGTCCGTCGCTGAGCACAAGTCCGATCTATTTATTGGGCATGTTGCGGCTATCACAGGCCTTGAACGCAACGGAGGCAAGAGATCGGGTGATTGCCACTCTAAACCTAGTCATCGACTATAATGACGATGGAACCGAAACGAGCTACGACCAGAGCCTTACTGAACGCTATAAACGCGTCACTCGACTACTGCCATTCAAATGCAACGGCCTCCAGTTTCTGGCCCTGGCAAGAATTCACAACAACTCAGATCCTGCTGTCAAGGGCTTGCCTTCATGGGTTCCAGATTGGGGTTTGCCGGGAAACGCAGACTATTTCTCAGGCCCTTTTCACGCCGCAGGCAACTTGCCTATGTACGGTACGCCCTTTTTTGGTCTCGAAGACGAAGACGATGTTCTACGCGCTAGGGGGTTTCGGTATGCTAAGGTCAACGAAACACTCTCATCTACCAACAACGCCTTCTCTCCACTCTCGGTCTTATCACATCTATTCATTTCTGCTACAGACTCCACTGGATGTAATTTTGACGATATCAAGAAGCTCGGATCCACGATCATTGGCCCAGCCATTTCCGAGCTCCGCATAGGTCCTGACTATTTTAGCCGCAACGAAATCGTTCTTTACACGGGTATCCTGCTTGGTTATTCATTCGTCACTCCTGGGATTCGCATTGTCGATCTACTTCCTTACGCAACGGACGTCTACGATAAATCCCAGAGAGATTTGAAAGTTACACTCAGAGCTTTGCGCAAGTTCCGTGATCTCCGCCCTCCATGTCTTCGCTGGCTCGACCTCGAAAGTCTATCCGCTGCTATTCAGAAAACACATAACCAGACTGAGCGCTTCGGGCATTTCGTCCAGCTAGCACACAAGACTTTGTCATCCGGATGCTTGGCTTCAACATCTACTGCCACCACTCTTGCCATCACGGAAGGGAAAGCTCTGGTGGAGACTGATGACGAGATATGGATTCTATTTGGCTGTCCAACACCCATGGTTCTTCGTCGTACTGCTTCACACTTCCTCGTTGTTTTCCCAGCCTATATGTGTGATGTCATGAATGGAGAGGCGATGGATGGGGTTATTACTCCTGATGACGATTATGGTGGCTGGCCTAGGGCCCTGGCAGAAAGACGTTTGGGCACTACTCAAGCCTTCTCATATGAGTCAGGAAGAAGCAACCGGCGGGTGGAAGTAATCCGCATCAGATAGATGCCTGTTTGAGAAGGTATTGCGGTGCGAAGTGATGAGACCTGTGATCGGCAAGACAGTTCCCAGTGTGAGAACGGATTCGTAGAGGTACAATTCACGGGACTACGCTTCGAGCTTCTTTCTCGAAGGGTATCCTAGATACATTGCATGCACCCAGCAACTCCCAAAGTGCCTGCCTCTTCGATGCATAACCATGTACTTTTGACACAGTTTTGTTTTGCTTCAGGATCATAGGTCAGAGCGTCAAAACTGTATGTAGAAACCATTGAGGTCTACTGCCGTCTGTTGCTACACATGAACCATCACACGATATCACAAGCGGCATGAAATCATCCAATAAACGATTAAAAGAATCGATTTCCCCAACTCTCCAACACGGGTATATACAACGAACCAAAGAAACCGTATGCGACTAGAGTGAGACCGCCATTCATGAGTTCATCCAACGAAAAGAGACAATGCGCCTTTTCCAAACAAATAGAACACCCTGACAAGGAAGACGACGCTTCAACGCTCAAAAAAGCGGCGATACCGCGCGAACAGAAGTGGGTAGCAAGAATGTAGCAGCTGACAGCAGCAAGAATAAACAACCCAAGATGGAGATAAGCAAAGAAACCCCAGCGCCAAGTCGTCATGATGATGATGGGAAAAGAGACAAAGAAAAACAAGGCGTGTATGTACATGCCAGTGTCCGCAAACGGAGCACCAAGAATAGACAAGAGTACATCAAAGAGAAGAAAGACAAAGATCAATCGCTTTCCAGCAACTGTCTAATCTTCTCGTAGAAACTCGCTGGATACTGACGAATCTCATCGTCGGTGGGCGGGCTCTTATTCGGATCTCTAAACCGATCTGCGACCCGTTGGATAATCTGGCCGAGCAACTCCTGTGGTATTCTCAGGTCTTCTCCGCCGTCGGGGTAGAGGAAAGGATCTCGCTCGTCGAGGAGTTGGGCTACGTTTGGTCGGCGCGAGGCATCGCGTTGCAAGCAGCGACGGAGCGTAGCTTTGAGGCCGGGAGGGACGCGGACATCGCCGACACCGAGGTCGGGGATTTCGATCTTGTAGTCGCGGTTTACAATGGCGAGGACACGCGCCATTTGGTTGGTGATGTGTGCGAAGGGAGGGCGGCCGTAGACCATTTGGTAGAGGATGCAGCCTAGACTCCAGACGTCCGAGGGTTTGCCGAGCGCCATGTCCTTGGAGCCGTTGCCGTTGGAGAGCAGGCCTCGGGCGCCACCGGCTGAGTCTTCGAGCGACTCTGGAGACATGTAGTTTGGGGTACCGATGTGCGAGTCGCGGTGCACGTTTACGGTGTGGTCGACTTCGATGGCGTTGGCAATGCCGAAGTCGATGAGCTTTAAGCGGCCAGAGGTGAGGAGAAAGTTCGCGGGTTTTAGGTCAGAGTGGACAATGTCGTGGTCGTGGACTGCGCCGACGCATTCGAGCATTTCTTTCCAGTAGTAGCGTGTGAAGCTTAGGTCTAGTTTGCCGTCTCCGTCGGCGGGATCGAGCTTCATTCGTATTATACGGGCGAGGTCAGATTCTCCGAGTTCCATAAGCTGGGGCATGTTAGTATATAACTTTGCCTTGTTTCAAGATACACGTACCACACTCAGCACTTGACGTTGCTCATCGACCTCCCAATCGTATAGTCGCACAACGCGGTCAACGTTCTTCAGCTTCTGTAGAAGGTCGATCTCGCCCTTGAAGCCCCGTACAGTGGCTTCGTCTGCATCCTCAAGCTTGACTCTCTTCAGCGCCAAAAGCTTGAAATTCTCTGCCATGACGCGGTACACGGCCGAACTGCCTCCTCTTCCTATCCTGTCCATTTGCGAGTAATGCTTTCCATTGACTGATAGTGTGCTCCTCTTCTTTCTTTCTCTCGTCTTCGTTGTGGCTGCTCCAGCAGCAGTAGTCGCCGTCTCCAACACTGACATCTTCGGCGGCGGCGGAGGTGCCGGTCGTCGTGGAGTGTTCGCACTCAGCGCCTGGAGCGGCATCTGCTTTTCTTGTTGCTGCGAAGATCGTTGTATCGGTGATTGGTGCTCTGGTTGTGGTTGCATATGGCGATCCTCTGCAACCTTCATGACAGAACCGGTGACCTTCAGGACGGAATCCGGGACGTTCTCAGGCTGCGACTTGACCGCGGAGATGGGCATGTTCTCCTGGTCTTGAGAGGGATGGTGTTCCTCCTCGCTCTGGGGCGTCCTCCGAAACCGTCTCATGGGCGCACCTCGCAGTGGCACTCGCTTTATTCGCAAACTTGGTGCAGGTGTGACGGTATCCTGCACTGGCGTGTTGGAGCCAGAGGCATTGCGCGATATCTTCAGCTTGGGTTTCCTCTTCTCAGGCGAATCGACGTCACTGCCTTGCGCAAGAAGTGCCGTCGTCAAAGCGCTGAGCTTCATTGGTTGTGGTATCTCATCATCGGAACTGTCGCCAATGTTGATGTTCTGCATCATGGGCGCATCCGCTGAGAAGCCCTGCGACTGCCCCAGTACGGATAGCGGAGAGTCTCTCCTGGGTCGTATTGAGGAATGCGCACGCATGCGCCCATACGAGGGCGTGGGAGAAAGTGTAGCCATTCGATTGTCGCGTCGAGATTCGGCAAGCGCGTTGCTTTCTATGTGCTCGTCGGGTTACGTGGATAGCGATTGTTAGCTAAGGGTTAGTTGCGCATTCATCCGGAAGGTGGGCGGGCGATTTCGTGGTAAAGATGGGTTGAAGTTGGCGTTCATGGATACTTAGGTAGCGCGCGAATCCTGAGACTCGCGTGGCCGCGTTGCTGAGGTAACTGCGATAAACAAACAGCCGAGGCACCATGCTGCAAAATGCCCCACACGTTTGACGTCAAAGCTGCTTCGCTATGCAAGACTAGGCCTGCCTGTGCATTCTATCTGTCTTGACATTTAGACGTTGCAGCAATCAGTGATTTGACGTGTGACCCTACTGCCATCAGATGAAGACATGGTAGCATCAATACCTAGGTAGTCGATAGATGATCAATGTAGCGAGTAGGAATATGGCATAGATGCTGATAGTCTACATTGTCTACAGTGCATGCATGCATCATGTGAACGTTGGGCAAACTGCCCATCTGAGATAGAACCACAGCAAATATACCGTGATCTAAACACACCCAGCTTCATGTCCACTCTCTGCATCTACACAAGAGATGTATCGAGAGGGCCTGATGTAATGAACGATCTTTTGATGTCGCTATCTAATCTTCAAACAGTCGTAACCACCACTGAACTTCATACGCTGAGACGATTACCAACCCATAGTGGCATGCGCAGATACGCCTCCGATTCCGCGCCTGAGTCCTCTCCAAAACGCCATCGCCTACCCATGCAGCCAAACAACAGAGATCTAATGCATATAATCATAGCTTTGCGCGCTGCGGTGCATCCTCAAGCACGACAGCTACCACAGCAGCAATGTCATCCGGTTTGCCACCGTGCCAATTCTCCCCAGGGTAGTATCGTTGTACTTCTTTGGCGAAGGGGCCATCCCGACGAGTGTTAAGCCCCGTCACCTTTGCCTCCTTCGCGATCGCAACAGCCACCTTGGCTTGGAGGGAGGAGCTGTCAGCTTTACGAGCTGAGTCGGCCTGTACCAGCTTTGCTAGATCCTGTCCAACCTCAATGGTGCCATCTTTCTCGACCCAAGCACCCAGGTCGACCATGTGACGACTGACAATACCGAGCGCATCCTGTGGGCTCAGGTTGTCCCACACACCATCGGTTGCAAAGAGTAGAACGTCGCCATGGCGTACTTTGTGGTGCGTTATACTCGACTCCTTTGGCATATCCGAGAGTGTGGATGGGCCTCCGAATACGGCCATTTGCACGAGCATGCGCTGGGGAGTTTTGGAAAGCTGATACGGGGTATTGAAGGCGTGCGTCTGAGGCTGCGTGAAGTGTCGTACGGCATTGAGTCCTAGATGCATGAATCCTGAATCTCCCAGGTTGGCTACTTCGACGTTGCCATCCGGTTCGGCAACAGCCAGGCATGCGGTGCTACCACCACCCTCAATGGTGTCATCATCCGTGACCTCGTCGTACGCGACCTGGAGGAGGTCTTTCGGGTGTAATGCTGTCGTGTTGAATCCGTGCGGCCATGAGCGCGCGGCGCAAGCCATGTACTCGCACAATCCGTGAGAGAAGTCGGCGGGGTCCAATCCAGACTCGACCCATCCTCCTACTCCATCTGCAACACCAAATGTCGTGGTCTTTGTGTTTCCCACCTGGCTGAAAAAGAAAGCATCCTGGCCACTTTTCGCTCGTTTCCGCTTGTCTATGGCCTCCTTGCATTCGCGCAGGTCCTCAACCTTGCTACTGCTGGGGTCATGCAGCGGTCGTGTAAACAGATTCTGCTCCGCATTGAAGCGATCCTGCTTGGCTGAGTAGGATGCCGCAACATGGTATGTATATTGCGGCGTACTCCGCCAGTTGTGTGAAGTCGAATGAAAGGAGCGTAAGCCGACAGTGGCCGGAGAGGTATCTCTGTTCAGCGGGCAGGTTGGTTGTGCGAAATTGGAAGGCATGCGCTGCGAATGAAGGCCGCTTGTTCGACTAGATGAGGCAGGCGCTGCCAATGGAGATGCGGCGAGAGCAAACAGGAAGAGGCCACTAGATGAGGCGCGTCGCGACACAGGTGGAAGTCGCGCAAGGCCCGCAGCGCTGGTAATCGCAAATGACATGGCCACAGCCAGAGCCTGGAGAGGGGAGTCAGTACGTGGGAATTGGCAGCAGAATCAGCGCCTGTTGGCGGTGCCGTACCTCTGCGACAAATTATGTTGAAGGAAAAGGGACTTCTGGGCTAAGAAATCACATTGGCCGTCGTCATTGCCGATCGGCTAGTTCGTGGAGTACTTACAATTATCTGAAGCATGCTTGTTGGGTAGATATAGCAGGAAATACCCCAATAGCAAACTAGGAATAACAGAAAGGCATTGTTTTACTGAGATCTGGTCTCTACCTGCAGAGCATACTCGTCTAGACCAAACACTGCAGGTGCTTCAAGCTTCGTCTCAAACGCGGAGTATGACATAACCGGCGCTAGCTCAGCCCTATCGCCTAAACCCGTGGTCTGGCTCGGAACTTCTTTTCGAGATACTTCCCCCGAGCACCAACATCCTTCCCCGCCGCGGGACCCGTAGTCACCATGAGCATGCACCCGGCGCGACAAGCCTATGTTGAGGAGGAGAATGGCGCGGTACGTACCCTGAGTTGCAGCGATAGGCTGGCGCAGAAGCATCGCGGGCTTCGTAGCTCAGTCGCAACTTCTGTTCGCATAAAAGCTGACCATAGCCCCCAGGCTGATGCGATGGAGGGCATCGACCTTTCCAGTGTCCCGCTCGACCGTAACCATGCCATGCCCGGCGGAGGAAACGCGTCGGCCCATTCCCTTATGGAGGACTTCGACCGCAAACGACGAGCAGCGCAGTTAATCGTACCGACCGCCGACCGCGATGTCAAAGCCAAGCTGCGATCGCGAGGTGAGCCCATCACCCTATTCGGCGAGGGGCCCTCTGAGCGACGCGACCGACTCCGAGCTTTGCTTGCAGAGGCAGCAGAAGCACTAGGCGAGGATGCGGCAGATGTCGACATGCAAGATGCGGAGGAAGCCCCGGGTGATGAGCAGGAAGAGTTCTATACCCAAGGCACGCAGTCGCTACTGGACGCGCGACGGAACATGGCCAAATACTCTTTACCCCGCGCAAAGGAGCGCGTCGCGTTCCAGCGTCGCGAAGCTACCATTCCCCTCAAAACCCACGTCGAGTTCCGGAACAAGATCAAGGACCGTCTCAAGGGGTTCGAGCTGTATGGGTCGCAAACCGCAGATCGTCCAGTGAGCATTGTGCGCGTCTCGCCCAACGGCAAGTATGTCGCATATGGTACCTGGGGCGGAAAGGTTGCGCTGTTGGAGATTCCCAGCTTGGAACAGAAGAAGGCGTATCGTGGTGGACACACGGAGCGTGCTACCGGCATAGACTGGATGCCAGGCGCGACATTACAAGGTAGCAACGTCTCAACCTCTAGCGTAAACTTCGCATCTGGCGGAGCAGGGGGCAAGATTCAGCTTTGGTCGCTGGATGACGACAAGCCCCTACGTACCCTCGAAGGCCATACCGACCGCGTCTGCAGAGTAGCATTCCATCCGTCGGGACAATACCTGGCTTCCGCTTCTGACGACACGACATGGCGACTCTGGGACGTCAACACCGGTCAGGAACTTCTCATGCAAGAGGGTCATTCAAAAGAAGTCTATACCGTGAGCTTCAGCGGTGATGGATCATTGGTTGCAAGTGCTGGCCTTGACAGTATCGGCCGCGTGTGGGATGTGCGTACAGGTCGTGTCATCTACATGTTGGAGAGCCACATCAAGCCCATCTACGGTCTCGATTGGTCAACGGACGGCCATCGCCTTCTGTCCGGTTCAGGTGACGGTTTCATGAAGTGCTGGGACGTTCGAGCGATGAGAGAGACAAACTCAATTGCAGCCAACACAGGAGGTGTCACAGACCTCCGATGGTTTAAGGGTACAGATGGACCGGCCAGCGGAGTACCGTTACAGGAGAACAGTGAAGGAGAAGTCATACCAAAGAAAGCCTCTACGTTTGTCATCTCGTCTGGCTTTGACAAAAACGTTCAGATCTTCTCGGCAGATGACTGGGCACACTGCAAGACACTTCAAGGTCACTCAGGTCCTGTTTTCAGTACCGACGTAACGAGTGACGCGTCTTGGATCGTCAGTGGAGGCAAAGATCGCACTGTCAAGTTGTGGGCCAGGGACGACAACGGCGGAATATGAGAACAGAGCTGCTACACAACGCTATGACTCATCACGTCAGACGGCAACAGCCACGAACACGCGACAAAAGCAAGGGGAGCGGAGGCCATACGTTTGAAAGGAGACACAAAGGTTAGTGCTTTCCCTCTCTACACTGAAACGGGGACGTTGAACACAGAATGTCCATAGCTTTGAACCGAGATACCCAGTACTCCCGAGCGCGTGGAGTAACGAATTTACAGTACGTTGCGCAACTACGAGTGTGCAACGTCATTCTTCAACCCAGCCTCCTTCACATGTTTGCTCGCTGCTTTTCTTCGATTCCGAAACTCACCGCTGCTTGCCCGTTTCCGCGCTCCATTGGATCAACATGCCAATCTCACAATCCGGCTCGCGTGGTCGTGATGTGCTCATCATCGCGAGATAACGGAAGACCGCTCGGCATTCATCGCATAGGAAGAGGCATGTGGTTATCCTTCCGGCTGTAGCATCGCGTCACCTTCTCTATGGAAGAATCTACCCATATTTCCAAAACACACCACGTCCGTTTCAGCAAGCAAATCTGTCTCTTCACCGCAATGATGAGAACATTCAAGAATCTTTCTTCTTCACCGCAAATTGATCGACATCGGAACAAGACGTGCGATAGACTGTTCTTGGATATCGGCCGGCAGTCTAGCTTGATAATGGACGACCGACGGGAAGCGTAACCGGGCCCGCGAAGTGTTTCAGGTCCACTACGATGGAGTAAAGGCACAATGGCCTCGACTTCTAGCTTTTCCACCGT